TCATAATATAATTAAATTATGCACGACATCACCCTTCGTACTTTACACTCTTCCTCACAATATAATTAAATTATGTACGGCATCACCCTTCGTGCTTTACACTCTTCCTCACAATATAAATAAATTATGCACGGCATCACCCTTCGTGCTTTACACTCTTCCTCACAATTCACAAAATCAATAAGAACGGATAGAGAGAAGTTTCACAAGAAATCAATGTTTCATAAATGATTACTTTCACAATTTAACATCTCAACCTCGAATCAATATTTACAATTTTATCGACCTTGGTGGAACCGGATACAAGTCTTCCAACATTCCAACAACAACAATAAGCATGGATAGCAAGATTTAAGACTACAAAATTGCAAGAAATGGAATTTCACTCGCATGCTATGACTCGACCACAACGTATAGATGCTCGTCACCTCAACTATACGTCGTATTCAACAACAAGCACATAGCAAATACTCACACAATACCTATTCCCTCAAGCCAAAGTTAGACACAACACTTACCTCGCTCTGAAGGCCACTTAATTCTCAATCACAGCTTTTTCTTTGGAATTTACCTCCAACCCACTCGTATCTATTCAAAAATGACTCAATAGTATCAAATATTGCTAAAGGAATCAATTATATTGCATAAATTAAATTTCCCAAATTTTCCTCCAAAAAGTCGAAAAATCGACTCCGGGCCCGCTTTGTCAAAACCCGAGGTTCGGACCAAAATCCACTCACACATTCACCCCCGAGCCCGAATATATAATTGGTTGTGGAATTCGACCTCAAATTGTGGTCTAAATCCTCAAATTCCAGAAATCCCTAGTTTCTACCCTAACCCCTAATTATACCATGAAAACTCTAGATTTTAGGTTAAAAATTCAAGAAATGTAATGGGTAATTGAAAGAAAATGGTTTAGAATCACTTACCAACAATTTGGGGAAGAAAATGACTCTTGGAAATCGCCTCTACCCGTTTGGTTCTTGCAAAATGTTGAAGAAATGGCTCAAACCCGTGTTTGGAGTCTGTTTTAAGTCACTGGACAGGCCTTCATCGCGTTCGCGAGAGGCATGTCGTGATCGCGATGCACAGCGGCCTAAGGCCTTCGCGTTCGCGAGTATTCCTTCGCGTTCGCATAAGGCAATTCCCCCTTAGCCTTCGCGTTCGCGACCCAGTGGACGCGTTCGGGTAGAAGAACATGACCAACCCTCCTCTAGGTCCCCAAATGCTTCGCGTTCGCGATGGTCAGGTCGCGTTCGCGAAGGCTAAACCCCCCATCACTTCGTGTTCACGAAGAAGAATTTTTAGTCTCACCAAATTACTCTTTGCGTTCGCGAGAGGACCTTCGCGAACGCGAAGAAGGATATGTCAGACACCAGAATCTGCAAAAAAGCAGATTTTTCCCAAGTCCAAAACATCTCGTGGCCTATCCGAAACTCACCCAAGCCCTGTGGTCTCCAAACCAAACATGCATACAAGTGTAAAAACATCATACAAACTTGCTCGCGCAATCAAATTGCCAAAACAATGCCTAGAACTACAAATTTAGCACCAAATCAAATGAAATTCGCAAGAACACTTTAAAAGTCCCATCTTCTCAACTGGACGTTCGAATCACGTCAAATCAACTTCGTTTCTCACCAAATTTCACAAACAAGTCTTAAATATCATAATAAAACTGTACCGGGCTCCGGAACCAAAATACGGACTCGATACCAACAATGCCATGCATCAATAAATTCTTAGAAATAAATAAATTTTCAGACTTTTAATTTTCATCAAAAATTCATAACTTGAGTTAGGGACCTCCGAATTCGATTCCGCGCATACGCCCAGGTCCCATAATTCGATAAGGACCTACCGGGACCATCAAAGCATGGATCCGGGCCCGTTTACCAAAAATATTGATCGAAGTCAACTAAAATCAACTTTAAAGGTAAAAATTCTTATTTTCATTTGTTTTCAACATAAAAGCTTTTCGGAAATCTGCCCGGACAGCGTACGCAAATCGAGGAGGGTAAAAATGAGATTTTTAAGGCTTAAGAGCGCAGATTCGAGTTCTAAAACATAAGATGACCTTTTGGGTCATCACATTCTCCACCTCTAAAATAATCGTTCGTCCTCGAACGGACATAGAAAAATACCTGGGCTGGTGAAAAGGTGGGGATATCTACTCCGCATATCGGACTCGGACTCCCAAGTAGCTGCCTCAATAGGCTGAACTTTCCATTGCACTCGAACTGAAGGGTAACTCTTTGACCTCAACTGACGAACCTGCCGGTCTAGAATGGCCACTGGCTCCTCCTCGTAAGTCAAATCTTTGTCCAACTGGACAGAGCTGAAATCTAACATATGAGACGGGTCACCATGATATTTCCGGAGCATAGACACATGGAATACCGGATGAACTGAGGATAACCCTGGAGGTAACGCAAGTTTATAAGCTACCTCCCCCACTCTCTCGAGGATCTCAAATGGTCCGATATACCTAGGGCTCAACTTGCCCTTCTTCCCAAATATCATAACACCCTTCATGGGCGATACCCAAAGCAATATTCTCTCTCCAACGATGAATGCAATATCACAAACTTTACGGTTAGCATAACTCTTTTGCCTGGACTGAGCTGTACGAAGTCGATCCTGTATAATCTTGACCTTGTCCAAGGCCTCCTGAACTAAATCTGTACCCAATAACCGAGCCTCCCCGGGCTCGAACCACCCAACTGGCGAACTACACCGTCTACCATATAATGCTTCATAGGGAGCCATCTGAATGCTCAACTGGTAGATGTTATTGTAGGCAAACTCCGCTAATGGCAAAAACTGATCCCAAGAACCTCCAAAGTCAATAACACAAGTGCGGAGCATATCCTCCAAAATCTGAATAGTATGCTCGGACTGCCCGTCCGTCTGAGGATGAAATGTTGTGCTCAACTCAACCCGCGTACCCAACTCATGTTGAACTGCCCTCCAAAAGTGCGAGGTAAACTGCGTACCTCGATCAAAAATGATAGACACGGGCACACCGTGAAGACGGACGATCTCACGAATATAAATCTCTGCCAACCGCTCCGAGGAATATGTAACTGCCACAAGAATGAAATGCGCTGACTTAGTCAGCTTGTCCACAATGACCCAAACTGCATCGAACTTCCTCTGAGTCCGTGGGAGTCTAACAACAAAGTCCATAGTGATACGCTCCCACTTCCACTCAGGAATATCTAACCTCTGAAGTAAACCACCAGGTCTCTGATGCTCACACTTTACCTACTGGCAATTTAGGCACCGAGCTACATAGGCAACTATGTCCTTCTTCATTCACCTCCACCAATAATGCTGCCTCAAGTCCTGATACATCTTGGCGGCTCCCGGATGAATAGAATACCGGGAACTGTGGGACTCCTCAAGGATGAACTCATGAAATCCATCCACATTAGGCACACAAATACGACCCTGCATCCTCAAAACCCCATCATCTCCAACAGTAACCTCCTTGGCACCACCGTGCCGCACTATGTCTCTAAGGACAAGTAAATGAGGATCGTCATCCTGCCGATCTCTGATGCGCTCAAATAAAGAAGACCGAGCAACTGTACAAGCTAGAACACGGCTGGGCTCAGAAACGTCTAAACTCACGAACTGGTTGGCCAATGCTTAAACATCCAATGCAAGCGATCTTTCACCAACTGGAATATATGCAAGGGTACCCATAATGACTGACTTTCTACTCAAAGCATCGTCCACCATATTTGCCTTCCCAGGATGATACAATATGGTGATATCATAGTCTTTCAATAGCTCCAGCCACCTCATCTGCCTCAAATTGAGTTCCTTCTGCTTGAACAAATACTGCAAGCTTCGATGATCAGTGAATACCTCACATGGCACGCTGTAAAGATAGTGCCTCCAAATCTTCAGCGCGATCAAATCGCCAAAACAACACCTAGAACTACAAATTTAGCATCAAATCAAATGAAATTCTCAAGAACACTTTAAAAATCCTATCTTCTCAACTGGACGTCCAAATCACGTCAAATCAACTTCGTTTCTCACCAAATTTTACAAACAAGTCTTAAATATCATAATGAAACTGTACCGGGATCCGGAACTAAAATACGGACCCGATACCAACAATGTAGTGCATCAATAAATTCTTAGAAACAAATAAATTTTCAGACTTTTAATTTTCCTCAAAAATTCGTAACTTGAGCAAGGGACCTCCGAATTCAATTCCGAGCATACGCCCAGGTTCCATAATTCGATACGGACCTATTGGGACCGTCAAAGTATGGATCCGAGCCCGTTTACCAAAAATATTGACCGAAGTCAACTAAAGTTAATTTTTATGGTAAAAATTCTTATATTTCGTGGAAGGATCTTTTTTCATTTATAATTTGGAGCCTCTGGATGAACAGGAATAGAAATAACCTTAACAACACAAATAATACTTTGAGTTCCAAGACCATCATAAATAAAGCTGTGGAATATAAGCTTTTTACTGATAGAAAAAGCAACATAGCTAAAAAGATTCTTATCCGAATCCAATGGCATAAGCCTCCAATCGGTTGGTATAAATTGAACATCGATGGTGCTTTTAAATGAGATAGACTAGTTTGTGGTATGGGGGAGTGATAAGAAATATCAATGGTGATTGGGTTGTTGGCTTCCAACATTTCTCACAAGCAGTATCTCCACTCCACGCGGAAATCTTGGCACTCAAACAAGGCCTTCAACTAGCTTTGGATATGAATCTCACTCCTCTAGAAGTGGAAATTGACTCAACCGAGGTAATAAAATATCTGGATCAAGGATACCCTACTTACAACACTTTACTTCATGATTGTAGGTGGCTATCCAGAATAGGGAAGCTAAAGGTCATGCATAACTTCAGAGAAGGAAATGAAGTAGCTCACTTGTTATCTAGGGAAGTATCCTACGAGACTAACATCAATAAACCTATTTATTTAGAAGTACCACCTTCTCTTGTTATAACCAGGATGTTGGCAGACAAAAACGGTGCTACCTCTGTTAGGCATGTAGTAGACGATGCTTGTAGGATGTTGGCCAAACTTGGCAACTGTAATGCCCTTAAGGGTATTAGTATTTTGTATAACAGTGTGGAAGCACCTTAGTATATTCTAATAAAAGTTCCAAATTCTAAAAAAAAAAAGTATTTAGTATAATCTTAATGACGAATAAAATTGTTAAAAAATTGACAGTACATAAAAGAGATTGTGTCGTATTGTTTTGGTAAAAGGCAACAAATTAAGATATAGATCATTACGAACGCAATAAATATTTAATAGTACTTTTAATAAAAATAATTATTAAAAATATCTCGATAAGTTAAACAAATTAAATATTTAGTATTCTTATAACGACGAATAAATATGATAAAAAGTTGACAGTACAAATAAAACCCTACCAAATTTTAGTTGTAAAATACTAAAAACTAACATATAAATAAATACTTTATATCAAATTAAGTAATAATATAAAAATTTATGAATTAAATATTAATATAAAAAATATTACAATATATTTTAAGACGTTAAACGATTAAAGAGAATAATATTTTAATTAATATTATTTAATTTACAGACATCATCATGGATCGTCCGTCTGTGCATCCTGGACCTGCTTCTCGAGAGCTAATTTTGTTCTAGACGGGTCATAGGTCTTCACACATCTGGGATGGATAGTTGCTTAGCCACAACTTCCACCTGAGACGTATTAACGATTTTTGGGAGTTTATTAGGAACCGCCCACTTCATCCTCGTACAGTTGTGTGCCTTAAGTGGACTGATTTTTACCGGATTGTAGAGGTCGGCCGGTTGCAGTTCGATTGGCCCCTAATCACGACTATGATCAAGCGGTGGAGACTTGAGACACATACATTCCATTTGCCAATCGGCAAGGCGACCATCACGCTAGAGGGCGTGGAGGTATTATTCAGGTTGCCCGTTGATGGTTTGGAATTTAGGGGTATCAATGGTTATTTAAAAACCGAATGAACCGACCGAACCGCACCGAACCGATTTGTAGGTTTTTTTTTATTAAAACCGTAGGTTTTTTTATAAATTTATAACCGTACCGAAAAATTAGGGTAGGTTTTTTATTTTATTTAAANGTGCCATCATCCTTAACTTAGCAGTTAGCACTTAGCAACAAATCACAAAGCACAAGATATTGATTTCTCTCCTCTCGTATCGTATGCCTACTGATTTCTATTATTCAACTATGCATAGTATATCAATATAAATTTTGCACAAACAACTCAAATTGTCTATATCGAATTTAAATAAGTACTTCTATTAAGTTATAACACGCACTGTTGCTACTAGTATATGATGCTTTCATATGCTACAATCGTTGATTTGGTAGTTTTATTCTTTCTGAAATTTTATCATTTAATCATACTTTTTGGAATATTAATTCTTTCTTTTAGTTACTAATAACTTACTTTTGATTTATTATAACAGGTTGAATTTATGGAGCAATCTCTTCAACAGAATATCTCTGATCGTGCCAATGCAGAAAATAGTACAACAGGTTCTAAAGCAGGTAATCCTCCCCGACCACCTCAAAAGCGAAAAATGACCAATCAAAAAGTCCCTCAAAAGAAAATAGTGATCATGGGTTAGAAGCTTGGCATCATTTTACTAGAATTGAAGAAAGTGAACCAGTTAAGGCTACATGTAATTATTGTAAAAAAGAAATTGCCGCTTCAGGGCAAAATGACACTTCAGACATGTGGAACCATCTGAATAGGTGTAAATTATATCCTTTTAGATGAGAAAAAAATCAAAAATCTATAACTGATTTTACCATCAAAGGCGAGGAAGGTGATAAAACAGAAGTTGGTAAACTAAGGCCTCTTAATATAGAGGAAATTAGAAATGCCCTTGCTACTATGGTTGTTATTGATGAATTGCCATTTAAGATTGTAGAAGGGGAAGGTTTTAAGAGATATAGTAGAGTACTTGAACCAATATTTATAATCCCTTCAAGGAATACAGTTGTAAAAGATTGTCTAGAGCTTTATATGAAAGAGAAATCCATTTTGAAAACAATAATTAAAAATCATTGTGTGTGCCTTACCACAGATACTTGGACATCAATTCAAAACCTTAATTATATGTGTCTCACAACACATTGGATTGATGATGATTGATTTTATCAAAAGAGAATTTTAAACTTTCAGCTTATTGAGAGCCAAGCGGAAAGGATTATTGCTAGTTCTATTGAGGAATATTTAATTAATTGGGGAATTGAAAGTGTTCTTACAGTAACAGTAGACAATGCAAGTTCTAATAATACATGTCTTGATTACTTGATAAAGTGTGTTAAGTGAAAAGATTCAATTTTAGACAACAAATATATGCATGTCAGATGTGCAGCTCACATTGTTAATTTAATTATAAAAGAAGGTTTAGCAGAACAGGATAAAGCCATTATTAGAATTCGAAATGCAATAAAGTATATGCGATCTTCTCCTGCCAAGTATAGTTTGTTCAAAAAATGTGTTGAGAAAGAGAAGATTTCATGGAATCATCTTGTTTGTCTTGATGTTGATACTAGATGGAATTCCACATATAAAATATTGGAACATGTTGAGAAATTTGAGAAAGCTTTTGTAAGGATAGAATTAGATGATCCAAACTATAAGAAGTACTTTGATGGAGGTTATAATGGAGCCGGAGATGAAAAAAAAGAGACAAAAAATAATAAAGAAAAAGGTCAAAAAATTATTGGATTTTCCAATATGAATGATGTTAGTAATTTTTGTGAAGAATTGAGAGATGGGAGGAAGAAGTTCGTGAATAAGAAAAAAAGAGATAAGAAAATCATTGGCCCTCCTAAGCATGAAGATTTTCAAGCTGCAAGATGCTTTGCAAAGTTCTTAAAGTTATTCTATAATGTGACATTGAAGTTTTTTGGCTCATTGTACACTACTTCTAACACTTTTTTTCGTGAATTGGTTGATGTCTATTCTGCAATTGCATCTCTTTCCTTAATAAGTATGATGGCATGGGAAGCATGTCACTAGAGAAGCATGTCACTAAAAATGATGGAAAAATTCGATAAATATTGGTTTTTTAATAGTAAGACCAATTATTTGTTATTTGTGGCTATTGTGTTGGATCCACTTTTTAGGTTAGAATATGTTGAGTTTTGCTTTGGTGAAATGTATGGTCATGATAATATCGTAATAAAATCAAGAATTGCTAGTGTGATAGAGTGTTTGGATGAGTTGTATCATGAGTATAAGAGATTGTATACATTTGAACAAGAGAAATTTGAAGATTTAACTTCTAATGAAGTTTTTCATGGCATGGATACTGATGAATGTGATAAAAGTTTGGATTTTCTTGACTCTCAATTTGCAAAGCGCATAGAATCACAAAAGAAAACAGAAAATGCATCGGAGGTAGCCAAATACTTGAATGATGAGTTGATTGGAAAAAAAATTGAATTTGATCTATTGGCTTGGTGGAAAGGAAATAAAACTAAATTTTCTGTTCTCTCAAGGTTGGCCAAGGATGTTCTATCCATTCCAGTGTCTACCGTATCGAGTGAACAAGTTTTTAGTACTAGTGGTCATGTAATTGATTCATTTAGGAGTTCTATAACTCCTAAAATCGTAGAAGCTCTTATATGTGCGCAAAATTGGTTACGTTCTACTCCTATTGATTTACGTGAATCGCTGGGTAATATTGAAAGTCTTGAAGAGATGGAAGAAGGTAATAAAATTTTCTTTATTAATTTTATTATTTTCTTTATTAATGTGAAAGATTACAATATTTATTAAGTTAATTTTGTTTGTTTTACTTTTTGCAGATTGTTTGAATCGCACCAACCATTATTGCTAATTTTGATGAATAATTGAGGTTCATGACTCACTTGTAAGAGAACCAAATTAGTTAGTTTATCACATAGGCTTTTTCTTTATAAAAGAATGACAACTTACTTTTCTCTTTCTTTACAGATAGAAGGTCAGTTGATGTTCCTGATGGTATCGTTGCTGCCTCACTGCCTTATTAGATCAATTATAAGTTTTGTTATTTTATGAATAGTATTTCTATAATTTTTTTAAAAGAAATGAATAGAAGCTATAAATATTGCAGAGACGGGAATATGACTCAATTATTGTTTAAACTTATGCTATCTTTGGGTGCATTTTATATGTTTCTCTCATGTTATGTGTTCTTGATGATCTACGTTAAAGTATGGCAGCTAGTAAAATTAGACATCGTGTACCTTATATGTTTATTGTGTGAAGTTTGTTTTTGCTATAGAGGGTGTAGAAGTCTCGCAGATCAATGTTGGCAAAAGAAAATGGGTGGAGTAATAAACTAGGAGTCATTGACTGTTTAATAGTACATACTTATTTAGATATTTAGGTATTGTCTTAATCTATATTTTATATGTGACTATTTAAAAATATACCGAAAATTAACCGAACCATACCGAAACTGAAGAGAAACCGAAATGATTGGGACGGTTTTAAAAAGTCCAATTTTGGTTACACACAATAGAATAACTGAAAAATTGGTATGGTTTATATTTTATAAAAAAAAACACTGACTGAACCGAACCATTGACACCCATAGTTTAGATGTCCAGTACCCGCCTGCTCTTAGGGATTATAGGAGGCACGACTATCTACAGATGATGCAGAGGCGCACTGGATTCCAACCGGCAGAGCAAACTGCTATCAGTGGCGTTAGTCGATTATAGCTATCTCTTGTTAGGCAGCATTTGGAGGCGATGCACGAGCATATCACGGATGAGTCACCACTTGAGGCTATTGAGCGGCAGTCAAGGATGTTGATCTTGATGATATTTGGTTGAATTCATTGCTCGAACACTTTGGGAAACCTTGTTTGCCTGCGATTCTTGCATCATCTATAGCGGTTAGATCACTTACCCATGTACAATTGGGGTGGAGCCGTTCAAGCGTACCTTTATAGGCAGTTGTATAGGGCGTCCATGTGTAGCGTGAGAGATATTGCTGGATTTATTCTGCTACTACAAGTGATAACATTATCAGTTCGTTTCATGATTATCATAGAGATAGTAAAAATTACTCAAATTTACGTCCACAATCAATATTAGGTTTGGGCTTGGGAGCGATTCTTGTAGATGCAACCCCTTCCTCGACCGATAGCTCCAGATGCATCACCTCCGTTATTTCTACCACGTTCTAGGAGGTGGATAGATAGGCGAGGTTGCGCCTGCGACGTCAAGGCTCGATATCATCTCCTTTATTACAAGGATCTGTTGGATCTACTTGGAAATGCGCTCAGGTAAATATTTGACTAAGTTTATTTGATAATGTTTGATCTGTCTTGCGTTTACTCACTATTATTGCATTTAATAAATAGTTCATATGGAGGCCATACGGCGACGATCTCATCGCCGGTTTGCCAGATTATTGCTCACGCGGTCAAGCTGTGTGGATGTCTGAGGTCCCACTAATATGTCTTAATATAGTCAAGCATCATCCGACCGGACGCGTCCTGTGACATTTTGGTCGTCGATAGATTATACCAGCTCCTCCCTGTTGGCATGCCACACATTATGAGCGGGATGATCGCAGCAGGGTTGACCATGCACACTTGGCATGGCTAGAATCCCAGATAGAGGACTGAGATCAAATAGTGGGCTTGATTCTGCCATACCCTCCACATGACCGTGTTGACGGTGAGCATGAGTACATGGCTTGGTATCGTCATGTTACTCGCACTCTAATTGGTAATCCCGTTCATCGGGAGAATGGTCTGTACGTTCCATATGCCGGGAGGCATGAGACACTGGTATATTATTTGATATACTTACTTATCATGTTAGATTTCCTTAATTAATATGTTATATCTTATGCATACTATTGGCTTACACCGTTTATACCATATGGGTCTGCAGATGCAACAATATGTAGGCGATTGAGCATCATTTGTGCACGAGTGGGGTCGTCAGGTTTCTCAGCTTGCTGTTGATACATTAGTAGATGCTCAAGCGGATGCGCGATTAGGTTTTGATGCTGCATATATGCCGCCTGAGGATTATCACCATGGGCCATGTGTGCCCCCAGCACGTGGTACACGAGTCAGGCGTGTCCAAAGAGGAATGGGTGGCCCGCGTGGTCGTGGTGGTCAGCGAGGACGGGATCCCCAGCAAGGTGGCACTGAGGCACCCGTGGAGGATATTAGTGAGGATTTGTCGGGTGAATTTGGTGAGGCACACGATGTTAGCGATAATATGCCTACATTCAGACTTCTATCACCGGGTACTTCACAATTGACCCTGACAGCTCTATTGTTGATCACAAGCACCACCATTTCGTCGTTTGATTGGGATGAGTATTATCCTCATGTTCCAGGCTCATCGAGGATTACAGAGGCTCGTCTGGTGCGAGATGTGCAGAGTGGAAGATGTTTGAGTTATGGCTATGCATCTAGGGATGTTGATGATCCTCTAGGCATAGAAATGGAGACATCATATCCGGTGGAGACGGCACAACCTTCATCTACTCCAATGCACCTCGGAGTTCCACCAGAGCATTGTGTGCCCACTCAGACACATGTTTATTTGTATTACTTTATTTTTAATTTATTTGACCTTAATTATTAGTCAGTAATATCTAATTTGTTTATATATTTTTTTAAGATTTCTCCATCATCTATCACGGAGGCGACATCGTGTGATACTCGATTGTCGGAGATGCATGATCTTATTTAGGAGCCGGTTGAGATACTGGTTTGACTATAATTCTTTTAGCTATTATGTTACTATTCTATATATCATATACTAATCTGCTAATATTTTGTAGCTTATTGATGGCCCTACAGAGGCCTCTACTGATCCTGCTAGCCTTCCAGACGATCATGTTGCAGTGCATCCTCAGATAAAGAGGCGACGAAATAAGGATGATCCGGATAGCATAGCCGGTCGGGATGATATGCGCCTCAGGCCAGCCAACATACTAAAGCATACATGATGTGGGACACATTGATATGTAGTTTGATTTGTATATATGGGATTAATTGTTTTTAAATGGTATTGATCTTTTTACATTATGAGCTTTGTGTTTTTAGTTTTAGTCTTATTGATTAGGTTAATACAAGAACACAAAAAATATGTCATATTAACATAAACTAAAATACAATAAAAAAACACATAATACATGAAATCTAAAACATAAAATAAACACTACACTTAAAACAACCATGTGCTCGTTTAGTCACTATCGCACATTATTCTCTGCTTCAACCGCTGAAATATTTATTACAACCTTCTTTTTTTTTTTCTTCTGCCTCTTTCAGTTGCTCCTTCACTGCCGCAAGTTGTTCTTCGAGTTTCCAGATCTGTATTCCGTACTCCCCGGTATGATTCCAAATGTTTAGCAAACATGCTTTGTAGTACTCCTGGTTAATGGATTCATCGTACCATTCATCAAAACCACATTGGTTTTCGTCCTACAAATGGTGATGATAAGAAACGAATATTAATGAATGTTATAAATAATCTATTAACCAACATAAATTTCAATATTAATAACTCACAACTTGTTTACACATCCAATGTTTGCGCCCTAGATTGCAAGTTGACCAACATAGATTCAAAATCGCATGTTTCCCACAGTAACACCTAGGCACCTCATCGCGTCCAGACATAACGTATTGCTTGAACTTCAAAATTTATGGAAAACAATATTCTTTGTTTGGTTAAGTTGTGATGATCCATAAAGAATAACGTAAAATGTGCGGGGGGGGGGGGGGGGGG